AAAAATTGCTTAAAATATTTAAAAAAATTCAGTAAAAACAAAAAAACACGGAAAATAAGAGTGTAGAATTTTTTGAAAAGTATTTTCTGAAAACTCAAAACAAGCAAGCTTTACTTCTTTTTTTTTGGCACATAATTTTTTAAATTTTTTTCTTCAATTTAAAAGTTAATGTTTTAAAGTTTTGAAAATAAAAACAAATGTCAAATTATCATGTTCCTTTATAGACAATCATAAATGATAAACAGTAATTGTTTGAAGGACAATTCTGACTATTAAAATTTTAATGGGACTTGAGAGTCCAAAACTCTTAATTAAGACTTAGTAGAGTATAAGTTCATAACTTGTGTGTAAATACTTCATTTTTAAATAATAAATAAAAATTAATGAAGAAACTTAGTATGTGAGTTTGGAAATAAATAAAAAAATAATAATTTTATTTTGTTAAATGGAATTTTGAAAGGAGCCTTATTATACATTTTGAAAAAGATTCCTATGTTAATTATAGCATAGATAATGTGACCATTTGAAAGGTTTTTTTATTTTATTATTTTTTTTGGCACATAATTTTTTTATTTTTTTTTTCAATTTAAAAGTTAATGTTTTAAAGTTTTGAAAATAAAAATAAATGTCAAATTATCATGTTCCTTTATAGATAATAATAAATGATAAACAATAATTGTTTGAAGGACAATTCTGACTATTAAAATTTTAATGGGACTTGAGAGTCCAAAACTCTTAATTAAGATTTAATGGAGTATAAGTTCATAACTTGTGTGTAAATACTTCATTTTTAAATAATAAATAAAAATTAATGAAGAAACTTAGTATGTGAGTTTGGAAATAAATAAAAATAAAATAATTTTATTTTTTTAAATGGAATTTTGAAAGGAGCGTTATTATACATTTTGAAAAAGATTTCTATGCCTCTGTTTGGCAAGTTAGTTTTCAGGCTTTTTTGGCTATTTTAGCCATAAAAAACAAAATAGGCTATTTTAGCCATAACAAACAAAACATCACATCCAACCCATAATCATTACATTCTTCTCTCACAAAAAAAGTCAAAAAAGCTAAAAAGCCAAAAAGCCCTTCCCAAACCAAGCTTTTTAGCCCAGACTAAAATAGCCAAAAAAGTCAAAAAGCCAAAAAGCCAACCCACTTCCCAAACCAAGCCTATGTTAGTTATAGCATAGATAATGTGACCATTTGAAAGGTTTTTTTTTTATTTTTTTTTTATTTTTATGAATTTTAGATTTTGTTGAATCGTTTAGCAAATTTAATGACACATAATTTTAAATCTTGAAATAGAAACATATACATATATTTTTTAAAATCATAAATTATGAAATAATTAGAGGTTTTTTTATGATTATAATTAGATTTTACTGAATTGCTTTCATATTAATTCAAATTTTAAAATAGTTGAGCATACATTCTTTTTAAAAGTCATAATTTATGGAATAATTATAATTTAATTGTTATGGTTAAATTAGAGTTAACTAATAGACATTTTTAAAAATAAAAAATAATTAGATTTTAGTGAATTGTTTCTATATATAGTGACAAACAAATTTAAATTTTAAAATAGTAAGCATACTTTCTTTTTAAAAATTATAATTTATGGAATAATTAGAGTTTTATTGTAATGATTAAATGAGAGTTTAACCAATAGAATGTTTTTTTATTATTTAAAAATCATAAAATCATAAAATTTAATTCGAAGGTTTAGAACTCTCACAAGTCTTGTTATTAGAAAGATTATTTCCCTTATATAATATATATAGGGGTTTTTTTTTTTAAGGTCCCTGATATTATGATTTTATAGCATAAAGGACATCAAATATTTTTATAATGTCTAAGGTCCCTCAACAATATTTTCATAATGTCTAAGGTCCCTCAACCTTGATCCAGTCCAGAGAAATTTCAGTCCAGAGAAAATTGGTCCAGAGAAATTTCAGTGCAGAGAAAATTGGTCAGAGAAATTCTGGCCCAGAGAAACTTCTCTGCACCAAATTTCTCTGGATGAGTTTCTCCACTTTTCTTCTCATTCACATCAAATCATTGTGATTCATTAGGTAAGCAACATTGTTCAACTGAATTCAACTGGAAAAATTCCACATTGTAATATGTAAGCAACATTAGAGTGGGATAACAATGGCAACTTACCAGAACCAGAGAAATTCTGGAAAAATCTGGGTTTATTTTGCATATCACATTATCTATGAGGTGCATTCGTGCATTGTGCATTCTTAATTAGTTTGATATTGCAGAAAGACTGGAAAAAAATATTCATTATGCTTGATCAACCATCTGTCCTCATCGAATTTATTGAAAATAGATCATAAAAAATTAAAGGGCATGGAAATGATAAACTTAGAACAAAACAAAAAAAAAATTCCATGACTGCAGGATTATGAAAAGCCTTACTGTCAATTCTCAAACATTCTAATATCAAGCTTGTTGCAAACTTTGATCATCCTTGAAGTGAATTTTCATGACAATAAAAAGCAAATAAGGTTTCCATCAATCTAAGCGAAGATTAAAATTTGCATCAATCAGGTGCTCCAATACTCTGCCTCATGTTTTGACTTACTAAAAGTGTATACAAGTGAAGTTGAGTTCAGCAAATCAATGAATAAGTAAACCTTTTCGTTCAATCAAATCAACTAACCTGAAGCTTGTATGACTTTCTCTCAGACCAAAAAGACTTGATTGATTCCAAAACAGTCTGCAAGCAATTGTGTCAAGTAACCCCTCCCAGCTCCAAACAACTACAGTAGGGACAGTAGTGTTATCACCACCAGATGACCCATCACATAAGTAATGATCCCTTAATATGTCCCCACCGGAATTCCTTAACACCCTAGATCCTCCATCATTGTTGTTACTGTTGTTACCATCTCCACTGCCACTCGACTCCGGAGACCCAAATGCCCCAACTGTGGCACAAGTCTTTAAGTAGGAATGCTTCCCTATATTAAAACTAAGTAACATACACTGCAAATAACTGAAACAGCAAGTAGTAGACATTCGAAAGCAAAAGAATATGTTTAACTGGGGAGACATTAACAATTGATTCTACAAAATACACAAAATTATGAAGAAATCTACTCACTTCAGCATGGGAGATAAAAGAAAAATATCTTTAAGAATTTCTCTAGATCACTTTAAGCCAGAGAAATTCTCTCAAAATCAATGAAATTCCTAAAGAAACATTTCCAGAGAAATTCTCTTTAACCCAGAGAAAATTCAGTTCAAATAAAAAAAAATTCAGTCCAAACAAAAAAAAACAGAGAAAGAGGCGGATCTGCACTTATCCCTTTAGCTTCAATCCATCTCTTTCTCTCTCTCTCTCTCTCTCTATATATATATATATATTTATAAATTAAAACAAACAAATACACAAATAAGCAATATATAAAACAAAACAATAATATGTGGGTTTCTTTACTTGGTTTGTCCAAGTTCAGGTGAGGAAATAGTTCTCCAAATATTGATCTTTGTTGGTGTTGTAGTGATACTCAAATTATATACAATAAATTCATTTGTTCTATACATTTTATAGCATAAATGATGTTTATTTTATTCGATCCCATAAACGATATTTACCTTCTGAAAAATATGTTTGAATAATGAAAGTTAAATACACAAAGAAGTGGGTTTAATTGAGAGAGAAGTTAGAAAGAGAAAATGAAATATTCTATTGGAATTTGCTGGTGGTGGCTAGAATTGAAAAGCAGTATTGCTTGTATGGATTCAAGATGATTAATTTGAATACTTTTTCTCTAATAGCAAAACTGGGTGTGGTTTCTTTTAGATCTAGAAGAAGAAAAAGAGTGAAAGAAAGAAAGGAGGAAGGGGGTGGTGCTGCTGAAACAGGGTCACCATAGGGGGAGCGAAATGGCTATAGCTTCTGGTTCATCTCCACGGACTCTACTTTCACAGGCTCAACAGCTGGAGCTTCCGGTTCAGCGGTGGCTGGAGCTTCTGGTTCGCACCTCCTTCGACTCCATCTTCGTCGGTTTGAGCCCTGGTCCACTTATAGATAGTGCATCCTGGACAGATTGTCTTTTCTCGAAGCTCTAATTGTGGAAGACTTCTCACCATGTTGCGATTCATCAAGATTCGCAACTTCTTGTATTCACGGCGACGGCGTATGGTTTCCGAAGAGAAAGGAGTGTTGTTCCGATCATCTTCATTTTCTCTCTCTAGAAAGCTCTGGGTTTCTCTCTCTATATGTATGTATGTAAGTACATGTCTGTGTGGTTGTGGGTAAGAATGGCGGTGGGTTTGACTGAAATTTGTCTGATATATGTTTAGGACCTTAGACATAAAAAAATAATTTTGTGGACCTCTTCCATTACGAAAAGTGGGAGAGGAACCTAGACCGATTTTCCCTATATATAGATATTTAATGGGACTTGAGAGTTCAAAAATTTTAATTAAGACTTAATAGGGTATAAGTTCATAAATTAAGACTTGTGCGTAAATACTTTATTTTTAAATAATAAATAAAAATTAATCAAGAAATTTAGTATGTGAGTTCGGAAATAAATAAAAATAATTTTATTTTTTTAAACGTAATTTTGAAAGCTTACTATATTGAGTTTTGAAAGAAGCGTTCTTATACATTTTGAAAAGATTATTATGTTAGTTATAGCATAGATAATGTGACCATTTGAAAGGGTTTTTATATATATATATATATATATATTTTAGATTTTGTTGAATTGTTTAACATATTTTAGGACACAAATTTTAAATTTTGAAATAGAAAAATATACATATATTTTTAAAAAATTATAAATTATAGGAGAGGAAAGTTGGTGTACAAGAAAAAGGGTCTCCAGAGGTGAGGAAACTTAGGTGGCCAAGGAAATGGTTTTCTCGAAAAAGAGGAAACTTGTTGGAAAAAAAAAAACTTGGAGGCAAAGAAAAAGAGTCTTTATTTTATATAATATATTGATAGGTAGACATGCATATAATATATTGTCGTTCCAAAGTATTCCTTCTTATCAAAGACATAAAGGGGCTAAATTCCTTGCCTCGTCATCGAAAAGGGTTCTTCTGCACATGGCCGATGCTAAAATCCGGCGACCGTTGGTGGAGGTGTTCTCGGTGAGCATCAACCACATCGACGGAGAGAACCTCTACGGCACAATCACAGTCACCGACGCACGGGGTTCTCAATCCATCTACAGCCGATCAAGAGATCATTACGAATCCATCAGCCCGGGCCAACCCGTTTTGCTGACTGGCCCAGCTCGATCCATCTTAGCCTACGACAGCGTCGCCATCGACGTGGCTCTCAAGGATAAGGACGATGATGTCAGCAGCAAGCAGATATGGTGGAACCCTTACCTCGCCACCACCGATAAGTATGATGAGCCCTTATACGACGACTTTCCTCTCAAGAATGGTTCGGTGACGGTCAACTACGCAGTGTTGAGTATTGCGTTTGCGGCTACTGTGGAAGTTACGTTCGTAAACAGAGGTGGGGAAGGGGAAAACTCGGCCCATGTTTACGGACTGCTTACTGCTCGCAATGGAAACTTGATGACTGAAAGCGTGCTCTTCCGGAAGAAATCAGATGAGCACGTAGATGTAAGGCCTGAGCAGCCCATCCCGTTGTCGAGATCTGTGGTGGCCGTGCCATCGAACTCCTCCCTCATAGTTCGGGCGGATCTGATGGATCACGACGGTGAGATTGCCAAGGGCACTGCAGAGTTTCCTGCTCAACTCTCCGGTACATCTCAGAAGAACATTTTCGGACAGCATGGTGAGATCCGAGTTAAGGTCACTTGGACACCATGGTGAGATCCGAGTTGAGGTCACTAGTCATTTATGGCGAGTGTTTTGTTTTAATAAGTTGATTGTAGGTGTGGTATGGTTGTTTCAGGTTCTATATTATTGATTACATATAAAATAATTAATCTGTTTTGATGTTGTTAAATTGTTTAATATGTTTGTGGATATTGATAAGCATAAAAGTGATACTTCTCACAATTCAGTAATTGAGCTTCATTCACAGGTTATTTTTCCATGTCAATTTGTTTTTTGCGGCCCTAGTCTAAGTCCGATTACGGCTCCGACGTGATTTTTGGAGAGTCGTCGGAGTTTCTCCAAGCTGTTTCACGACCTGCACACACACCACCGGATAACGAGGAGAGAGAAAAATTAAAAAGCAAAGGGTGAAGAGAGAAAATATAGACAAGTTGTTATAAAAACTTTAAGTTATTCTTACCGGAATCTAATTTTTTCTAATTTTGATGAATGTCTTCTTATATTAATTTCTTAGAGATTCTCCAATTTAAAACAGTTGCTAAAGTCATAATATGACAACTTAGGCAAAAATGACTTGTCCAATGACATGTTATAGTAGCTGCCAAATTTAACAGCAGTCAAATCTGTTGTCAAATTTGGCACTAATTTTGGCAGCTGCCAAATGTGCCAACTCACCAAATCTATCTGTTGCCAAATTTGGCACCAACTTTGGCAGCTGCCAAATGTGTCAACTCACCAAATCTCAACCGTTTTCTTCCCAAGTCAAGTTTACAATATAGAAAACCATCAATAAAGAGCTGAAAACCCAAGCCATAGTTAACTCTCAATAAAAAATTAGAAAATCTAGAGAGTCAAGATTTTTTTTATAAGCTCTTACTGAAATCAGGGGAAAATGAAACTAAAAAAATTTGCCACAAGCAACAGAGAAATTTTTAAGCTTTAAAAAACTAAACCATCATCAACAACTGGATCTAAGAAATTGGGTTACTATAGAGGGCACCTAAGGTTTAATGGCTCTGAGAACTGTATGATTTAAGAAACTAATACACAGTCACACTCAAATCCCAATTGCTTGAAGTTGGTTTTGGATACAAATGATCTTTGATCAACTCTGAAAGGTGTCTGCAATCATATGTACAAATGATCTTTGGCATAATACACAGTCACACTCAGATAGCCCTCCAATTCATGGATTTAACCCTTTACCTTGCAACCCTGTCAATTATGCCATTTGACCAAGTAAAAATCATAAATTTGGCATTTGACTCAAGATTAATCCTCTGGTTATGGATTCCATTTTTCTTTTGCACCAACTGCAGAGACTGACTGTTTGGGAGGTGTCTGCTTCCTAGGTAAAAGTCGAAATGTTTCTGCCAGCAAGCATTCAAACCTTGACCAACTCTGAAGCCACCCTGTAGGAGCCACAAAACAGAACAATGACAGGACAGTTTAACTATGTTTGGGTGCTTACTGCTTCCTTGGTAAAAATTAAAATGTCTTTCGCCAGCAGATATTTAAACTCACATCTCGATCAACTCTGAAACAACCCAAAAGGAGCCACTAAGCTAGAATGCTTTTATTGTTAATCGTTATATAATTTTAACTTGCATGCACATTTACTATTTGTATATAAATACTGTCATGCTGACGTTTTCAACTGCATTACTTCTAGAGATAGCCGTTCTCACTCTTGCTTTAGGAATTGGATGCCATTCTAATTTCTTTTAATTGCATTACATAGGACATGGGCAAGCATGTACTTCAAGCCAGATTATTTTTCATTTATCAAGAAAGCTATCCACCAAGACAAGCATCACAAACAGAACAGGTGAAGCCATTACAAGGGTAAACATAAAAAGTTATAGCAAGGTTGAAATTTTTCTGGAACTTTGGACAGTATGAACCAATCTTTTAACTCGAGAGACTCAATAATGATAATAAATGCAATCCAAGTCTTTGTGCTTAGTATGCATGCATGCCTTCTCTTTTGCCCAGCCAAAAGCAAAGTTGTAGATCTCACGAAACTTTTCTAGATGATCATAATAAAAGAAGATTAATTTAGTAACAAAATAGTTGAAATTCAACATATTATGCTGAAGCTGATCAAATCAATCTTCTCCTAAAGCGTTTTAGTTTCTCATCAAGATATATGTCAACATACGAACTGTCATTGTCACCAGCAACATGACATATGAAATAGGAGCAACGTGGGTTATAATTTATAACTACTTGCAACTAATGAGGAAAATTGAATGTCATGTATTCATACGCTCATCTTTCAGCTCAGAACGCATAAATTGCATACGATCGCGGAATTTCTCCAGCGAATCTATCCTGATATTAAAAATATAAACTCTGTTATTATTGGAATTAAAAAGAAACAGCAAACTAACATAGAACTTGACCAATAGTTACCCAAGAGCTTGCAAACCACCAATGAACTCCTGCTTGGAAAATTCACACATAGTGGCTGCCTTCATGTGCCAAGAAAGAACTAGCTACAGCAAAGGCAACAACCCCATGTTAGCTAAAACTTTGCTGAATGATTAGAGTATAATGTATTTACTTGACAAATGACAACTAATAACTTGATCATGAGAAACAAAAGACTCCTGGTATATATTGCAAACACTGGCCCAATTTCTTAAGATTGTTTGGCAAAATGTTTAAGAGCTTTTGAAATTAATTTGTCAATCAATTACAAATATAACATAATAAAACCCTAGTCAAGTTGAGTTTATTCATCAATAAGAGAATGAGGCACGAAACAGAAGTTCAAGATCAAATAAAATGAAAGAAAAGGAAAGTCATTAGTATAAGCTTAGTAACAAATGATGGACGCGAAAAACTAAAAACAGTGGGAAACAGGCTCTATAAATCATCAAAAGTCATTCAGCTTGCAGTCATAAGTTGCTTGAGTATATTCATTAATTAGGCAATGAAACAGCCAGTTTAAGATCAAATAGAAAGAAGGAAAAAATACTATAAGGCCATGTTTGTTTAGCGGCATAGGGGGCTGGATTGTATTAGTATGGGTGTGGGTCCCACCCACACCTTGTTTGGTGATGATTTGGGAGGAGGGATTAACAGTGTGAGGGGCTTAGTAATCTCCCTCAGGAGGGGATTAGCTTGGCTAGATTTTGGATAGGATTAGAAAAATAGTGAGCGGATTGAGTCTATTCTATATAAAAAATTTATTTTTTTAATTTTCAGTAATTCTGATAAATAAATAAAAGATATTAAACTCCTTTCCCTTTAAAAATTATATTATGAAATTACTATTCAAAGTGAGTCCTCTTCACTACTTATTTCTCTTGTTTCAAACTGCTATATGTTAACAAATAACAAATAAACGATCCCCTTGTCTCATATCACTCAAAGTAATTGGAGGAAACAAGAAAGAAATAAAATTGAACGCCACAAAAGTATTGCACTATGAAGATAGAGGCATCTCACCAATTGAAGCATTACTCAATATCAAACTTTTCTTTTGGAAACATGTAAAACATTACCTTTTTCTATTTTGAATAAATATATGATGGGTGAAAAAAGATGAGGCAAAGGTGTGGTGCTAAATCATAGAATAGAAAAGGATGAATATGATGAGAAGTGAGATGACATAAAATATAACATTGAGATGAAGCCTAGCATTAGGCTACCAAAAAACAACCATAAAGAGATGGCATGGGCTGGTAGTGTGGATTAAGGTGATACTTGCGTCTTTCTTTCAATTAACTTGATCAATTATCATGAACTGATTATTCTTATACTGAGAAGTAGCAACCTTGCATGCCTACATGGACAGTGATACCTTATCAATTCTAGAAGCCTTACCTGCTGCATGAAAATCAATGAAAATATATGAGGTATAGGGCAAGAATGCATGTCTTCAATTGCATAGAGGAGCAAGTCTACAAGACTAGACCATTCCAGAATTTGTTGCTTTAATACAAGGCAAAGGAAAACTATACCAGTTTTGCACATTGATGTTAGGACAACACAAAACTATACTAATCATTGTTAATATTTTTTATTTTTGTCTCTCACCATGATGGGTATTTATTGAGTGGCACATGTCAAACAGTTATGACCTCTAAGGTACAAATGTTACTGAGTTTACAAGGTGCAGACTGCTAAGCTTAATTCCTTTGTAGATATCAGCATCTGATGGTGAAAAAGGGAAAATCAGGTGCATTTTGGGGTCCATACTAGTCGAAAAGTGTAGTATATTTTTGTCTTCATCTTCAGAATCCTCTACCTTTCAACACCCATGTTTTAATCTGCTATCTCGGAGACATCACAAATGAGTTGGACACACCCATGTTTTAATCTACTATCTCGGAGACATCACAAATGAGTTGGACACGACAAGTAATTTGAGCGCGACTCATATTTGATACATTAAGAGCATATTTAAATGAGCAAATTATAATATAGAAATTAAATTATTAAATTATAGGACTCACATTTTAGTACTTGATTTCAATTTCTATTATTTAAATTAGATTCCGATGAAAATTTCATTCAATAAAGTTGACAATTTTTTAATCATCCAATTAATAACACAAGAGAATGTCCCACTGTAAAGTTGATTTATTAGGTTGAAAGTTAAAGTTGATTTATTAGGTTGAAAGTTAAGATATAATGTCCCACTGTAAAGCACCATAAGAGAACAAATATAGACAGCACAGAAAACAATTCCACTGTCATTGTTTCTATATAATGGGTTAGGCTTGTGGCTTAGAATTTTGAGAAGCCTTAATAGACATTTTATCAAACAGTTTGAAGGCAAGAAAAAAAAACAAAAAACAAAAAACACAAATCCTTTGTTATTAAAGTTTTGCTTTTAAAAAAATGTACATATTCAGTAAGAAAATGTACATATTCAGTAAAAAAAAACGGTTTGAAATCACCTTATGATCGTCCAAGAAGACCAAGATGCTAATCTTTTAAGGGAGTTCGCCACATCAAGATTGTCTGGGATGTGAGTGAAGAAGATCAGGACGGGAGAGTTCCTTCCCATATCTCTATCCTCATCTGATTGTTTGAGATAGAGTGAGGGTGAGAGTGAAAGATCAATTGATTGAGAATGAAAACAAGAACATGACAACAAAAGCATGAGAATGCAACTGAGAGAGAGGGAGAGTTGACTGCTGGTGACAAAGTTCAGAGATCGTGAGAGTTGAGAAGAAGAGGAACTGTGAATTTGTTAGAGATTGCCGATTGATGAAGGGCAAGTGGAGAAGAGATGGACTGTTGCACTCAAAAAATTTTCAGACAGAGAGAGAGTAAGAGCGGGAGATATTTTATATGGATGGTTATTGGATCAGCTGTAAAACGATCTTACTTTGCGTATACAGACACATTTCAGAGTCACCTTTATGGCGAGTGTGGTCTGAGGGTATGAGGATCAACGAGAGATCAATGTGGTCGTAGGTCGAGTGTGGTCTGAGGATCTGTGTGAGGGAAAGACAGAGGCACTACAACAAATTGCAGAATTGGCGACTAAAGTTTCTTTTTTCGTCGCTGAAAGTAGTAGAATTGGCGACTAAAATGGAATTAGTCGCCAAAATTGGTCACTTTTGCCGACTAAAATAGTTTAGTCGCCGAATACAAGGTTTTTAGCGACCAAAAGGCAGTTTAGTCGCCGAATCTGGGGGTTTTAGCGACTAAAGGTAGTTTAGTCGCCGAATGTGACAGTTTTTGGCTACTAAAATAATTTAGTCGCCAAAAGTGATGGTTTTGGCGACTAAAAAACAGATTGGTCGCCAATTGTAGGTGTTTTGCCGACTAAAAACATATTGGTGGCTGAAAGTGAAGCTTTTTGGCTACCAAAAAAAAAATTAGTAGCTAAAAATTGAGTATTGGCGACTAAAATTCAGTTTAGTAGCCAAAAGGTGATGTTTTTGGCGACTAAAAACAGGTTTAGTCGCCAAAAGTGCATATTTTTAATTGCAACTAATTTTTTTAGCGACAAAAAAATCATTAGTAGCCCAAAATAATAGAATTGGCGACTAAATAATGGTTTTAGTCGCCAAAAGTGGCCTAAATTTTTTTTTAATAAAAAATTTATTTTTTACATAATTTATATTCAATAAAAATAATTATATTTATATAATTAGTTTTGTATTAATACCGATTAATATACTATATAAATAATATATATTGCATATACATTCATGTGATGTTATAGTGGCATACTGGAGGGAGTGTTTGGTTAAAGGTTTAGAATGTGAAAGGGTTAGTGGTTCGAAACTCAGCAAATGCAAAGAAATAAGATTTTTTTTTTTTTTTTCACGGAATACCTTTGGCGACTAAAATTAGTCGTCGCCAAAAGTGTTGCTTTGGGCGACTAATGACTTTGGTCGGCGATTCATGGCTATCGGCGACTAAAATATCAGTCGCTGAATGTATAATTTCCGAAAGTGTAATTCACTATTGGCGACCATGACTTTCGTCGCTGAAACTGGGGGTTTTTGCCGACTAAAATTTGTTTAGTCGCCAATACCTCTGCCGACTAAGTACTGGCGACAAAATGGGCGACTAAAACATTTAGTCGCTGAATCTAAAAAATCCACTTTTGGCGACTAAACAGGGACTTTTGGCGACTAAAAATTTAGTCGCCAAAGGTGATTTTTGTTGTAGTGAGGGCAATGGCGAATTTCAAATTCCCGCCCCACGTTTCAAATTTCCCCCCAAACTTTTGGCGACCAAAAGACCAAATTAGTCGCAGAAAAGGTTCTTTCGCCGACAAACTTTTTTAGTCGCCAAATCTCAATCAACGGCGACTAAAAAATTAGTCGCTAAAAGTACTAATTTTGGGACTATTTTTTTTTGTTACTGAAAATAAGTTTTTCGCGACCAAATTTTTGGTCGCCAAAAAATATGTGACCTTCCGCGACCAAATTTGTAGTTAGTCGGCAAAAGCATACCACTTTCTGTGACCAACTCAAATTTTGTTCGCCAAAATATAACCTTCTGCAACCAATAATATTTGGTCGCCAAAATTAATAATCATTCGCGACTAATTAATATTTGGTCGCCAAATGTCATTTTTTTGTGACCAAAATTTTTTTGGTCGGCAAAAGTGGTCGCAAAATGTGTAAATTCTTGTAGTGAAAATCTGGTAGTCTTTTCTGGACACATAGAATTTCTGTTAATTTTATGTAAAAAAAAATTCACAAGAATGATGTGATAATGTTATTTTCGTAAATATAATCCAACTCAAACTAGGGCTCCATTTGGTTTGGTTTTGAAAAATAATTTTTCAAAGTCATTATTTTTTCGTATTTTTTTTTTATTTTTAATGATTTTTTTTAATATTTTAGTTATTTTTTTAATATTTTAGATGCATCTAAATTAGGTGCATCTAAAAAAAAATTACCCAAATATGAAAAAAAATTTTATCAAAAGACATAAAAAAATCACAAAAAATATCAAAACTCGAGAACTTATTTTTTTTTTACAATTATCTTTCATTTTTTAGTAATTTTTTTCATATTGGAATCAATTTTTTACTTTTTAAATGCACCTAATCTAGATATATCTAGAAAATAAAATAAAATTGAATTAAAATATAAAAATATTTATTAAAATTAAAAAAATACGAAAAGCAATAATGATTTTAAAAAATTATTTCCCAAGACCAAATCATTGTTTTGCAGCGATCAATAAGTATATACAATTTATTTGAAAAATTATATATATATATATATATATAATGAAGCAAATATTTTTAATGCATTTACATTATTATATAATGTATTTACTTGACCATGGTTTATATAATTTTTCAGGGATTTGAGCTTCAACAAATTTATTGGACAGAGTGCTGATTCGCTGTTCAATTTGAGCTCTCTCTCTTACTTGTAATAAACATCTTGTACTGATTTGGTGGTATAAATTATTAGTAGTATTTCTTTTTTATATACGAAGGACATCATTTTTGTATGATTATCTGTTCGTATGGAATTATTATTTTGGGTTGGATTATAGTTGGTTTGTATAGAATTTGATGTTACAAAACCAAATTTTTGGATGGTTGAAAGTGAAATAGAAATAGACATATGTATTGTTTTGTTTATATACAGGGGCAGATTGCACGAAATAAATACAGATTGTGTAGAAATTAATAATAATAATAATAATAATAATAATAATAATAATAATAATAATAAATAAATAAATAAAAAACACTAAATAAAGTTTTTGGTGACTAAATATTTAGTAGTAAAAAAAACAAAATAAAACTTGTTGGCTACTAAAAATTTAGTAGCCAAAAACAAACCAAAGATGTTTTGGCGCCTAAAAATTTAGTAGGGAAAAATATATGAGACTTTAGATGACTAAATAGTTTAGTAGCTAAAAAAAATATGAAAATTAATTTTTTTTGGCGACTAAATATTTAGTAGCTAATAATAAATGATACTTTGGGCGACTACAAATTTTAGTCACTGAAAATAAAAATTAATTTTATTTGAAAACTTTTGGCGACTAAATATTTAGTCGCCAATTTATGACTTTTGGCTACTAAAAAATATTTAGTCGCTAATACCTCGTATTTTTCCCTACTAAAACATTAGTAGCCATTTATAGGACTTTTGGCGACTAAATTTTTTTAGCCGCCAAAACCTTCCCCGACCATTTTCCCGCGACAAATCTAGCGAGCAAAATATGTAGTCGGGAAAAGATTTTGGCAACTAAAAACCTTACTATTAAAATTTTAATGGGACTTGAGAGTTCAAAACTCTTAATTAAGACTTAATGGAGTATAAGTTCATAACTTGTGTGTAAATACTTAAATCATAAAATTTAATTCGAAGGTTTAGAACTCTCACAAGTCTTGTTATTAGAAAGATTATTTCCCATATATAATATATATAGATATTTAATGGGACTTGAGAGTTCAAAAATTTTAATTAAGACTTAATAGAGTATAAGTTCATAAATTAAGACTTGTGTGTAAATACTTTATTTTTAAATAATAAATAAAAATTAATCAAGAAATTTAGTATGTGAGTTTGGAAATAAATAAAAATAATTTTATTTTTTTAAATGTAATTTTGAAAGCTTACTATATTGAGTTTTGAAAGAAGCCTTATACATTTTGAAAAGATTATTATGTTAGTTATAGCATAGATAATGTGACCATTTGAAAGGGTTTTTTTATATATATATATATATATAAATTTTAGATTTTGTTGAATTGTTTAACATATTTTATAACACATAATTTTAAATTTTAAAATAAAAAAATATACATATATTTTTAAAAAATTATAAATTATAGGAGAGGAAAGTTGGTAGAGAAAAAGGGTTTCCAGAGGTGAGGAAACTTGGTGGCCAAAGAAATGGTTTTCTCGAAAAAGAGGAAACTTGTTGGACAAAAAAACTTGGAAGCAAAGCAAAAGATTCTTTATTTTATATAATATATTGATAGGTAGACATCGCATATAATATATTGATGGGTAGATATCGCATTAAAGTCACATATCATTAATATTAATATATAAATAGATACTTATCTTTTTTGTATGGTGGTTGTCGTTCCAAAGTATTCCTTCTTATCAAAGACATAAAGGGGCTAAATTCCTTGCCTCGTCATCGAAAAGGGTTCTTCTGCACATGGGCGATGAAATCCGGCGACCGTTGGTGGAGGTGTTCTCGGTGAGCATCAACCACATCGACGGAGAGAACCTCTACGGCACAATCACAGTCACCGACGCACGGGGTTCTCAATCCATCTACAACCGATCAAGAGATCATTACGAATCCATCAGCCCGGGCCAACCCGTTTTGCTGACTGGCCCAGCTCGATCCATCTTAGCCTGCGACAGCGTCGCCATCGACGTGGCTCTCAAGGATAAGGACGATGATGTCAGCAGCAAGCAGACATGGTGGAACCCTTACCTCGCCACCCCCGATAAGTATGATGAGCCCTTATACGACGACTTTCCTCTCAAGAATGGTTCGGTGACGGTCAACTACGCAGTGTTGAGTATTGCGTTTGCGGCTACTGTGGAAGTTACGTTCGTAAACAGAGGTGGGGAAGGGGAAAACTCGGCCCATGTTTACGGACTGCTTACTGCTCGCAATGGAAACTTGATGAATGAAAGCGTGCTCTTCCGGAAGAAATCAGATGAGCACGTAGATGTAAGGCCTGAGCAGCCCATCCCGTTGTCGAGATCTGTGGTGGCCGTGCCATCGAACTCCTCCCTCATAATTCGGGCGGATCTGATGGATCACGACGGTGAGATTGCCAAGGGCACTGCAGAGTTTCCTGCTCAACTCTCCGGTACATCTCAGAAGAACATTTTCGGACAGCATGGTGAGGTCCGAGTTAAGGTCACTTGGACACCATGGTGAGATCCGAGTTAAGGTGAAATCTGCTTGGTCCATGATTTTGCTCCTATTTCTGTACATTGGTTGAAATCTTCTTGGTCCATAATTTGTTTTAAACAAGTTTGGTGCTTTTGTATTGATGCATTCTATGTGTTTGTTGAAAGTCCACATAGAAAGATTTTGTTTGTTAAGACAATTGTTATGTGTATGGTACCTTTATTTCATTGTTGAGAAATGTTGAAGTTCATCACAAAAACCAAACTGTAATGAAGAAATTAATGTAGAGCTGGATTCAATTTCTTATCCAATTTGGAGATGGAAACAATACAGAAACAGATTGAACATTCATTGAACAAAATCTCTTATCCATTGAACAAAAATTAAACTGTTTGAACATTAAACAAAAACCAACGATGGACTACCAATGATTTTGGAGTCATTTTACAACTCTTTCATGGCAGCGTTGCCCACAGCTGGGGCTTAATTGGTTGCGTGAGCTTAATTATAATTATAAAAAATAAAAATAAAAATAAAAAAGGAAAAAGGAAAAAAAGGAAGAGAGATTGGGGTAAGTTTGTAAATAAATAGTCAGGAATTTGTTTCATTTTAATTGGCTCTGTTCTATCTTACAAGTAAAATTACTTTCTACATCATGTAGTGTTTAGAGGTTTGATAAAGTATATTGATTTCAATTTCTTGATGTTGTTCTATATCACTTGATTTTGTATGTGATAATTTTTGGTGGAATTTGATATGCCTATAACCTGAATTGTCTTTGTAGCTTGCTTGTGATCCCTCATTGATGATTCTTATGTAGTAAATGGTTTTTGACTGGTTGTATTCTATTCTCCAAGTTGCTCCCAGCTTGCTTTTTCTCGATACTGTCCTTTCTCTTGAATGATTTTTTTACCATTTCCCAATAGTTTCCTTGATCTCATGTCAATTACTCTTTATATAATATCACTGGGTTTATTTATGAGAAAGCAACTAAATTTTTTCATATTGTTTACTTTCTCATTGAATAGGCACAAGGTAGCTTAATGCAAATGGTAGACAATATTGGAAGCGCATCTCTTAGTCATTCAAGAATTGTGAACAATATAAGCAGTCAAAGTGGATCAATTGCTTCAAAATTTGTTGACTTGAATATAAATGTGGATCCAAATGCCCCCTTTTATTTTTAGTTTTTAAGAGTAATTTTATGACTTTGTTTTGTAAACTTTGGATACTTTGGTTTGTTTAGGATCCAATCAAGTGATTTTGGCCTTAAACAACATATTTTGGAAGGTGACTTATTATTCTCTTGGGTGTTTGGATGATGTTGATATGGTTTTATATTGGCTTAATTCAATTTTGGTTCCAGCTTAATTCAGTTTTGGTGGAAGCTTAATTTAGTTTTATGTTGATATGGTTTTATTTTTTAGAAGGTGACTTGAATTGTGCTTACCTATTTTAAACATGTCTATGCTATATGGTTAGCCGAATAATGGGAAGGACAGACCCCTGATACCACAGATGTAGTAGAGTGGTTGTAGTTTTAACTCTCTTTGTGCGTACCCTCTTTTTTTTTTTTTTTAACAAATGCTATCAAACCATTGAGAGAAATTAGATATTAAAGTTCTGCTTAAGGATTAAAATGAACAAGAGCTCCTTTGGAATATGTCTAAACTAGTCTTTAATATTTCTCTTTAGGAATATGTCTTATGGTTGCTGAAATGTTAAGATAAGTTACAAGGTTTCTTAGGCTTGTTGAATTGGTGGTAAATTTACAATTTTTTAGTCAGTATCTTAGGATATTTTTTAACATGTTTCATGGGCACTATTTTGATGTGATAAACGTATGGTTTATAGTTTTTAACTTTATATATGTATGTCATATGGTATTTCAGGGGAAAGAAAAAGAGTACTCCTATATTTCATTAAAAAAATCATATTACCATGAATCAGCATCCCAAAAACACACACATTCAGCAGCAACACGTAGAATCCATAAAGATACCCACATTCGTCAACCATTCTACAAAACCATGAGTCCATTCCAAAACCAAATGTATAAGTTTACAACATTCATTTTAATATTAAACAAATTAACACCATTAAACTAGTACACACTATGATTCCTTGTTTCTGTTAGAATCATTCCTCCCCTCATCTTCATTCTTCCTATGAATAAGATTTGGCCTCCATTGGATATTTGATGCATTGCCATGTTGGGTAGTAGGCACCCACCATGCAGAGTAATTGCACTTGCCATCTGCACACTTGAAGTAAAGCCTCCTTGGATTTTTCTATGAGTCTGATATCTTAATGGCTGCTTTTTTGTCACATTTGCAACTTCGATTTTCGAAAAGGCGACCATTCGTTGCTTGAACTAGTGGAGGTATAAGCCATTGACATGTTACTCCTAATAATAGGAATTTAACAAATAATTAATACATTATTGAGCATAAAAAATATAATTCTCCGTTCATAATGTCAAATGGCCCATAGAATGAAGAAGGTATATGGTTTTGCTGGTGAAGTTTACTGTTGGAAGTATGATAGCCAAAAAAAATTGGTATTGTTATTCAAAATTACAAAGCATTTCATTGAGGCAAAATGTAAGTCTAGAAACAATAATTTGGCCATTCACAAAGCATTTCATTGAGGCATTTTAGCATACACTTGCAATGCAAAATGTAAGTGTAGGGAGAATCACACATGCTTTCAACTATCACATATGCCTTCAATTCATCATTTCAACAAGTTGATTTTTCTTTTAAAATCACGACAGGACTCAACAAGTATATTTTCATAACATTCTTCATCACAGGACTTTTGTTCTGTTTTCCAAAAATCCTCTCCAACTTTTTAGCAAGTATGATTTCAGCAAGTCTATTTTATGAAGTAAGATTTCATAACATTTTTTCATGAAGTATGATTTCATAACATTTTCAGCAAGTATGATTTTTATGAAGTATGATTTCATAACATTTTCAGCAAGTCTGATTTTTATGAAGTATGATTTCATAACATTTTCAGCAAGTATGATTTTTATGAAGTATGATTTCATAACATTTTCAGCAAGTATGATTTTTATGAAGTATGATTTCATAACATTTTCAGCAAGTATGATTTTTATGAAGTATGATTTCATAACATTTTCAGCAAGTATGATTTTTATGAAGTATGATTTCATAACATTTTCAGCAAGTATGATTTTTATGAAGTATGATTTCATAACATTTTCAGCAAGTATGATTTTTATGAAGTATGATTTCATAACATTTTCAGCAAGTATGATTTTTATGAAGTATGATTTCATAACATTTTCAGCAAGTATGATTTTTATGAAGTATGATTTCATAACATTTTCAGCAAGTATGATTTTTATGAAGTATGATTTCATAACATTTTCAGCAAGTATGATTTTTATGAAGTATGATTTCATAACATTTTCAGCAAGTATGATTTTTATGAAGTATGATTTCATAACATTTTCAGCAAGTATGATTTTTATGAAGTATGATTTCATAACATTTTCAGCAAGTATGATTTTTATGAAGTATGATTTCATAACATTTTCAGCAAGTATGATTTTTATGAAGTATGATTTCATAACATTTTCAGCAAGTATGATTTTTATGAAGTATGATTTCATAACATTTTCAGCAAGTATGATTTTTATGAAGTATGATTTCATAACATTTTCAGCAAGTATGATTTTTATGAAGTATGATTTCATAACATTTTCAGCAAGTATGATTTTTATGAAGTATGATTTCATAACATTTTCAGCAAGTATGATTTTTATGAAGTATGATTTCATAACATTTTCAGCAAGTCTATTTCAGCAAGCATGATTTCATAACATTTTTTTGAGCAAGTATGATTTCATGACATTTTCAGCAAGTATGATTTTTATGAAGTATGATTTCATAACATTTTCAACAAGTCTATTTCAGCAAGCATGATTTCATAACATTTTTTTGAAAAATCACACAGCTTTTCATCATGAGGATTAAATGGAGAGGATTTCAAAATAAATCGAAAAAAAAAAAAACAAATTAATCACTAAGCTTTATCATGGCGATTAAATGGCAATGATTTATAATAATAAAAAACAAAAAAAACAAAAAAATCTGACCTTGGTTGTCAATGGAGGAGATTTGGGGATCTAGGGCTTGAGTAATTGTGCAACATGTCAATGCAAAGAAGGGACGCCGGAAAACACAGGAAGCCCGCCACCGCCGTCGATGGGTTGGCTGATTTTGCTCTTGTTTGCTAGACCGAAATAGTGATTGGGTTTCAATAGAGTAGAGACAGAGAGAGGGAGAGAGAGGGAGTCCCAGATTTGGGTTTGAATAGAGTAGAGAGTGAGATTGTTTTTGGGTTGAATAAGAGAGAGAGAGAGGTGAAAGGAGAAAGAGAGCCACACGTGTCAGAGAGTTCATTCGCGCCATTCGCGCCTCACGCTCTCGAGGCCTGAAGCATTTTTCTTAATAAAGAGAGTTTGTTGTGAACAGAGCTACGAATACGATAATGATGATGGTTGAGTTGTGGTAACGAAGGCATCAAATGTTTGACTAACAGTGTGTTTGGATTGAGTGATTTGGGGAGAAAAGAAAAGAAATAGAGAGAAATGTATTTCTCTTTCTTGTTTGGTTATCTTAAATGGAGAGAAATAGGGAGAAATAGAGAGAAATTAAGAGAAACTCATTTATCTCATAACCCTTATTTTCAATCTTCCCAAAAGTGGAGAGATTGAGAGAGAAAAGAAATCCACAAATGTTTATATTTTCATAATACCAATTTTACCCCTATAAAAATAGAAGAAATAAAACGATTGAAAATATAAAAAGGTTATTTTGGTAATATAACATAAAATAATTTCTTTTTTTTTCTCTTAATGAAATCTAACCAAACAAGAAGGAGAGAAATCACAATCATTTCTTTTCTTTTATTTCTTACTTATTCAAATAAAAATGAGAGAAATTACAATCATTTTATTTCTTTTCTTTTCTCTTATTACTTAAGTAATCATTTTTTTTTATTTTCTCTCCTAAGTTACCAAACATAGCGGAAGGAAATGTAGCCGACAAAGCGGGCTACCATTCTGGAAAATTGAGAAGTTGCAATTGTTTGACAATTAATAACAAAGAGAGGTGGGGATCACTTGCAGTTGTCACTTGGAATCTTATATCACAGATTCTCTGCATCTGTTTTAAAACTCTCAACCAGCCCAGTTGCGTCTCCAGTTGTTTCATCCCTTTTCATATTATAAATCAATGGGATGGAACTTTTTACGCATGTTATTGGTCAAGTGGTTCATATTATTAAAAAAAATTAGAATAATGGAATCAATTTTTATTTTTAAAATTTATTTTATAAATCATATATGAAAAAAAAAACTTTACGGAATAAATAAGTTGAATCGTCAAAATGAAACCCGTGATTAAATAGTACCCTTTAATTCAAATTTTAAACTAGAAAAATTTTATTTCACTATGATTCGATCCATGAAGCCTAACAAATCTTGACTCTATTGAATAATGATATATATATCAATTGGTATATTAATTAGTATACTAACGGATAATGTGACATAATTTTAGAAGTTTTGAATTTTTTATAGTTTGTATAATGAATGTGGTCATAATGTTAAAATAACAATGTCATAACATATATTGATACACTAATTGATATACCAATTAGTGCGTGTAGCACCGCCAGACTCTATTTGTTAAGTTATAAGACAAATGTTAACAATTGTCCCTGAGCATTGTTTAATGTTGAGAAGTATATAAAAAGTGTATTAAAAATATATTAATTTCAATATAAATGTATTAAAATTAAACATAAAATATCTTATATTCTTTAATTTTTTTTATCTTTTATTTATGTACTTTAATACACTTATTAATAAAAACTAAGTTTTAAAGGTGTACCAAAATGTCTTTCCAACGTTTTTGGACTTTTGTAAACCATGTGAAGTCACCAACATGATCATGGGAATTTTAGGAATCCCAAATGCTCGATAACTATGGTTGGTGCTTGAGAGTAGGAAGGACCACTATCATGACATTGACATTGTCAGTCAATTTCTAAATCAATCCCATTGATTACTATGCTATAACACATGAGAGCATTGGTGTGAGATATTTTAAATAAGTGTATTTTTTTAATTTTTTAATAAAAAAAATTTTAAAAAAAATGTTTGTTTAGAATAATTTTTTGACTTTTTAAGAAAAAAATATGTAATATAATATTATAGGAACTACCAAAATTACTGTTTTACCCTTCCTTCGTGACACAGCAACAAAA